CCCCCCCCCCTCCCCTCCACCCCAACCCTTCACCGCCCACAGTTGAACGCTTCTGATGATAGAGGCATCGACGTAGTGCGAGGCCAGATCAAGGAGTTTGCCGGCACGAAGCGCCTGTTCAGCTCCGGCGTGAAGCTGGTCATCCTAGACGAGGCGGACGCGATGACCAACGACGCGCAGTTTGCTCTGCGCCGAGGTAAGACTTGAAAAGAAAAAAACGCTTCGAAACCCAGAGGCTACGGCTTTCACTGAGCTTTGACTGAGCGGAGCAGGTACTAAAAGACTTCGGGTTGGACATGGTGTGTACGGCAAGCTATTGAGCGTCATGTGGTTTTGATATTCGGGTTGAAGGGGTAAGGGTCTTAGCCGCTGGTGACCGCTCGCGGGCTCATGATCATGCCAACAGGCAACAAGGGGGGGGCTTTTGTTTTTGATCTTGATTTGCTCCCGTGGCAGGAGTTGTATAGCCCGGCCCGAAATTCGGCCTACCACTTGCACTGAGACCTGTTTCTTCCTGCGCGTAGCTCTACCGAAGCGGTCCTGGCGTGAGCGGTACGCTTGGAGGTTGCCATCCACCCACCCACCCCTCTTTTTCGCCCCTCTGGTTTTTGGCCGTTAACCCCCCTGCGCGCTCAAGTCTTTAACGCCAGCTTGTTTCATCTGCAACATTCCCATATCCCGTTCTGCCCCCCCCGTCCCCCGCCCGCGCGCCTGACCTCCCAGTTATCGAGAAGTACACGAAGCACACTCGCTTCTGTATGATCTGCAACTACGTAAACAAGATCATCCCGGCGTTACAGTCGCGGTGCACCAAGTTCCGGTTCGCCCCCCTGAAGCCGGAGCAAATACAGGGGCGACTGCAGCACGTGGTGGATCAGGAAAAGTAAGCTTGGAGGAGGTTGCTCCTGGGTATGTGGGCATGGGCGGGTCGTATGTGTTTTTGTGGGTTCCGACGTTGGCCGCGCTTGGGTGGCTGTGGGCGGCTGATGGAACAGACGTGGGCCACCAGGCCTCACGCTCATGTCTATGCGCGGTACCACGTCTCAGCACGCCTTTTTCGCCACGAGCTCTCTTACTTTGCGTGTGCTGTCAGCTGACCATCTGCCTTTTTTCTGTTAATTCCTACTTTTATTTTTTACTTGTCCAGGGTTACGATCACACCAGATGGCGTGGAGGCGGTGATGCGCCTGGGGCAGGGGGACATGCGCCGCGTCCTCAACCTCTTGCAATCCACGCACATGGCCTACCAGAAGGTGAAGGGCGGGATACCGAACACTACAAGCGTAGTGGTTGAAAAACGATTTTTGCTGATTGAAAGTGGCGACGGGGAAAGAAGCAAAAAAACTAAACAGAGTGCCGCTGCGCGGCAGCATGCAGTGCGTCCGACAGTTTTGGTGGACTGCGCTACAGGGCAAACGATTGGTGATTTATGGTTCAGGGTAAAAATAATGGCTTATGGCTGATGGCCACATGAACGGTTTGCGATGTTTGTTGTGTGCTGGGGGAAAAGAGGCAAGATGAAGGAAGCGCACTACCGCTTAGTTTCCTGGCAATCCTACTCTTTTTTTTTTTGTGGATGCGTGCGCTCTTCTTCTCTGATGATTCCTCCCCCATCCCACCCCCGCCTGCCGCGCCCACTTCGCGCGTGGAATGTATGACATGGCAGGTGGACGAGCGGCACGCCTACCTGTGCGCGGCCGCACCTCTAAAGGAGGACATGGAGTACATCCGCAACGCTCTCCTGACGGCTTCGTTCAAAGTGAGGTGACGCAACGTGTTGCAGTTGGGTGGAGGTGAAGAGAGCCATGTGCGACGTTCGTTCAGAGCAGAGGAGCCGTGCGCAGCCTTTGTTTTGTCCATGTGTAGCTTGGTTTTCTCGTTGGTAAAGTCGAGACCGTTTCTGTCCCACAGGTAGTGATGCTGATCGATGGTTCTCCCAAGGGCAACGGCATGATTCTTCCTGAAAAGTATGCTCCCCTTTGCAGCGCTCCTGAGCCGACGACTTTCTCTCCCTTTTTTTTTTGTTCAGGACGCGTTCGACGGCATCCTGAAGCTGACGACCGCGAAGGGATACTCCCTCGGGGACATCGTACAGGCGAGAAACAACCCAAAGAATGTACAACAAGCGACCGACCCTTTTGCAGCTGCGTCGTGTCTGATTTCTTGCCCCCTGTGTGTTAATCAACAGCAGTGGCACCGATTTCTACTCTGGCTCCCTATAGACTGTCTGTTGGGACACGTCTTGTACGGTATACTGCTGTCGTGGATTCTGTTCTTTCGCCGATCTCGCATGGATTTCGGAAAGGAGAAGGCAAACGTTGCCCCCGGTTTCTGGCAATGTTCATTGAGAGCGCGAGGCTGCCGCACGCACGCGTCGGCTGAGCGGAGCCAAACGCCGGGGTTACATCGCTTTCACCGGTTGGTTGTGACGTTTCAAGCGCTGCCTCTGTCTGCTACAGCTGTCGCCCCCTCCCCCGACGTTGACTTGTTCGCGGCTCGTTTTCGGTGGCGGGACTTCCTCTCCCGAAGTGTAAGAACGGGCAAAAGAAGGGGATGGAGGGTGCTCGCGCTTTTTTTTTTTTTGGGGGGATGGGGGGAGGTTTTCCCGCGAGTAGAGCAGGCTTTTAAAACTTGAAACAAACAAGAATTGACACCACCGGTGACGAAGGCGTTGACATTTTGCCGTGGACGATCTACCGCCCTCCCAATCCCCCGTTTCTCTTGGTGGTGTTCCCGATCCCGCAGGAGCTCGCGCTGAAGGTGATGGACATTGAGCTGCCTGCGGCGGTGATGGTGCACCTGCTGGACGAGATGTCCAACACGGAGGAGCGGTTGGCGCACGGGGGCTCCGAGCGGCTGCAGCTGGGGTCCCTGGTCGGCGCCTTTGCTACCGCCAGGTATGTATGCAGCGGTCGATCGAATGAATCATCTTCTCCGTGCATTGCGTACGTTGTGTGTGGGAGCGACGTTGACTTCTTCCACCAACCGATCGGACAGCAGTGTGGTATGAAAATAGCTTGAGTGACGATGCGCTTGTTTTCGCACTAGAACCACCTTCGTAGACGCACGATGTGTGTAAACGAAGAATGCAGGGCGGTGTTCGTGTGTTTACATGCGGCCGACGTGTCCGGAGGTTTTTCGTCTCCTCGCATGACGTCCAGCACCTGGCGCTGGGGGGGGATTGTGATTATGCGGTTTGTGCCAGTAGACTACCTGGTATCTAGACAAAGAAATCCTCCCGATGTCATCTTTCGTGTATCGACGCGCCCTCTGGTCCCTTCTTCCTGATTCACACCGCACCGCACCTCCCCCATCTTTCTTTTTCGCGTGGCAGACATATGATGTCTCCGGCAAGCTGAAGCGCTCTCTCTCTCTTTCTGCGTCGTCGAGAGGGAACCCTTGGAAATAGAAACGGCGAACACACCTCCCGTGCAGTCAGTCCTTGGTATGTTGTCAACTCAACAGGCGGTATAGATAGTTTGACGTGCGTGCAGGATGAGCACATACGTCCCATGCGTGTGTGGCAGTAAGCTTGTCAGACCTAGGCGCTAGCACGGGGGATCGGAATGCACTGTGTGTGCCCTCCGCCTGGAAGCATACGGTTGGACAATTTCACGGGGCCAAGTGCTATGGCTCTGCCGTTGTGCGATGCTGCCATTCTGCTGCTGCGCGAGCTGTTATGCGACAAACCGTCGCCGCTACTCTAGCGACGTCGTGCAGACAGGTTGCCAAGTCTTCCCTTTTATGCCGGTTCCTCATGGTCCTACGCATTGTGCATACGCCTGCATGCTGGTTTTGTGAGGCCTGAAGTAGGGCCTTTGGTGTCCCTGGGTGGTGGGAGGATTCTTCCGTAGTGTGGCGGATGCCTTAGAAAATATTCGTACAGTCACCGAAAGACTACCCGTCCGAGGCAATACCCCAGTCAAAGGCGTGTATGTCGTGGTCTTTACATTAAGCGGGGAAGGAAGCTGCTGGATACTGGGCCTACAGTTGAGTTTGTTTTGAAGCCTTTGTACTGACGGGTCTTTAAACTGGCGCATGATTAGCGGTGCTAACAACCTGAGAGGATCTTGTCTCTTGGAGGGAGATTGCGGGGTGGCACAACGGTCCATTTCGATGAAATCGACGTTTCGCGAAAGACTGGTTGGAAAACTACTTGTTGGCGAATGAGGCGCGCGTGCGTTTGTTTGCCGCCGGAGGAAGGTCTTGTCTCGGCTACCCCTAGCGGGCGTGTTTGTTCTTGGAGGCGTTGGTGATGCTGGAAGTGTGCCTAAGCCCGGTAATCTTGCGTTGGGCGGAGTGCATTCCCGGCCTTGGGTCCCGAAAATATCATGTCGGTAACAGATGTACGATTGGGCGAGAGTTCACGCACGGTATACGTCGTACATGTCGTACTTTGCACGTAGACGCGTCGTACGGCTCGGAGCTTATTCCAATCATTTTAGGCTTGCAGTATCAGCATCAGGTGCCCCAGGATCCCGTGTCCGTTGAACGGTTCCCTTCTACATGTGTACGCGAGAAGTTCATCGGTGAGTAAAAGAAGGGAAGAAATCACTGTATATATCCGTGTGTTTTGCAAGTCTTGGGTCATGTCGTCATGTAGACCCCTCAAACTTCGCTGCTCCAGCCAGGCAGCGGTGTGCGTGGGGAGAGAGGGTCATTTTCTCGTCGAGGCATGACACCCATGCAACAACACGACAGGCTGATGTCCAACACTATGCACGCATTCATGCCTGCAAAGCACTGGAATTCGAGAGCCAGTGCAGTTAAATGACTCAGTGGTCTAATGAAGGTACGTCCAAACTTACTTGTGTAATTCTAGACTTTAGTATGCATACGTAATTGGTATACCAGAGCCGTGTTGTTCCGCCACTTTTTTCAGTTGTTTTTGGTTTTTGCTTCTGGAAATAGTCAACTCCAGACAAGGACACTGCCACCCCGCGGGTGTGATTCCACATTATTATAACATCAACCCGCGTTCGTTCTAGTTTGACCTGGCCTGGACAAGGTTTTATTTTGTTGCACGACTACTGTACTGTCGAACGCTCGTCAAGTCGGGGGTCACACACAAGAGTTATTTTTTTCTCCCTTCTTTATGCGGCACTTGCTTTTATCTTTTTATCGAGAGATCGATTCAGCTGTGCCTATGGACAGAGTGCAGTCTACCGCCGTCAGTTGACTCACACTGCGACGAGGACAAAAAGACACTGCCACGAAAAGCTCGCCCGCCAAGCAGCAGAAAAACACGAGCCAGAATGAGAGCAAAACGCACCCATGGGTATCGCCTTAAAACCGACTGGCTGCCGTTGGTTTTCGCTCGTAGACTAAGTACAGCAGTTGTTGTGTGATATTAAGAAGAAAAAAACAGGTTTTCTTGTTCAGACTAGTCTCCTCCATGTAGACTATGGAGCATTTCGTGTGTCGAACGCGTTGATTGTAATATTGCTGCTGCTGTCGTTCAGCAGCACTGCTGTAGTGATGCTGCTGCGCTGCTGGTGCTCTGTCCGCAAATTGACCTGGTGTGCAGCTGCAGCGTTAGCAAAAGGGTGTCCGTTATTCTTATTGACGATACGCTCCTGCACCGCTGTACGTTTTACTTCACGTTAGAGACAGCAATATCACGCATCGACGGTTTGACGGTTTCCGTACATCCACTCGAAGCGGTACAACTCGGGCCGATCCTCGGAGGAAATCGAACCAATGAGCAGAGTTTTCGGATCCACTTGAATTCCGATCTTCTCTCTACCAGCTCCCATCAGGCCTGTCTCGAAATCGGTGTATGATACGCCGGTCAAGCAATTGTTGTGCGTGTTGCCTTGCTGTCGACAAATTTTTCCGCACCACAAAGCTCAGCCCAGACAATAATATGAAGTCTTTCGCCGTGTTCGCTGCATGGTGTGCGGGTGGGGCGCTCGCGTTCGCCCCTGTGCCCAAGGTATCCTCCGTGGGCGCCAAGTCTGCTCCTGCTAGGAACAGCGCAGCTACTGCTCTTGATGCTAAGAGCAAGGCTCTCCCCTTCCTCGAGAGCCCGGCCACGCTGGACGGGAGCATGGTCGGGGACTTTGGCTTCGACCCGCTCGGGTTGACGGAGAACATCGACGTCCCCTTCGGTGAAGAGAGAGACACGTAGCAGTAACATGCGTGTGTGACGCCCGGTGCAAGCGTGCGTTTTTCCTTGCCGCTCTTGTTTTGTCTTGTCGAACAAGCGGCGTAATTCCGCCTTGAAGCTACCTGCTGCTGCTGCTGCTGCTGCTGCAGGTACATAAATGTGTATGTCAATCCACCTTGACAGCAGCAGCACCCGCTGCTGCACATTTCACCCCAGTCGCTGCTCTTGATTTTCCTGGTGATTGTATGCGCCTGTCGAAAGCCGCGCGGTAGCAGTATGCATTCGAAATCCCAGATCGAAATTCCAAGTTGATCATTCTCATCGTTTTTGCATCTGGCTGCTGTTTTCGTCGCGCCCCTCCCTTATTTGCCTGGACCTTTGTCCCTGCTGCTGGCGCCTCGGGAATCGCCGGCTTTGTTCTACCCTACCTTGTCCAACGTCAATCATCTTCAGCGCGTGGTGAGTAGTTTGGTGCATCTGGGTTTGCCTCTTCGCCGTTTTCTTCTCCATGTGCATATGCGTACGTTGTCATCAAATGTATGGGAGAGAGGCTTCAGCAGCTGGTACAGCAGTTGTGCTTGTATGTATTACTAAACAAAAACACACAAGACAACCCGTTCGAGGTAAGACCACGTATGTTTGTATCTACACATGATTACGAACAGTAGATTCGCTGGTGAGGTTTGCAGCGTTAGTGCTTCGTTGTGTGCAAATTTTGGGTGCAAGGGCGAAGTATGGATCTTGATCGCCTTCGAAATATTTGTAGGCTCGAGGAGGACGAGAAGTCCCAGGCGCAAAATCTTCAACCTGGCAGTTGCATGGGTCCCTACATGGTTCATTAAACGAAAAGTTAAGGACGAAGCCGTTGAACTGACTTAAAAGGCAACGTTTTTTTTTATGAGGCACAAACAACTGCACACCTTACCTTCCAAGTGTTCACCGAAGACAAGGCGTTATTCTTCCATGCTTCAGTCCTTCTTTGGTGGAGAGCACAGGCTCGCTCAATCCCACGAACGGCAACCACCCGGAGACCTCTAGACAACCCCAGAAAAAATATTTGAAGCAATACGAACGCCATTTTTAAACTAACCAAGGGCAGAGATCCTCAGGTACCAAGCATTGATTTCATTTGGCCCGGGCTCTCGCATAATCAAGATTTATATTGTACTCTGGTACATGTGGCGGCGGTGGTCTGCCTGGAGCACGCGCAAAGCTTACAGCTTGTTCTTCTCAGGAAATAAATAATAGTAGGCGCAGCGGGTGGGTTCATTCGGGGGGCGGATGGCGTGGGGAGGGGAGAGGGGAGCAGGAAGCGGTTATTGCTTTTTGCTTTCCGCCCCTGGCTGTGTGAAGCAACAAGAGCTGAGCACGCTAAGCTTAAGCTTTGTTGGAGGCGTCCGGGTGCTGGGGCGTACCTTGAGCGCGCAAGGGGGCGAGGGGGCGGGAAGAAGTGGCCGTCGAGTACACAGCACAAGTCTCGATTTGAAAGAACTCTCGCTTGGGCTGTTGGGAACAAGCGGCTCGAACATCTAGTTTGTTGTCGACAGTTAGCTTGCAGTTATCGATTCGAGTCCTTCGCTTGCGTCGGGCCTTGTTCATTGCATGCAGCAAACTATCCGGCATGCAAACATCTCAGCGGCGCGCGTCTGGTCGTGATGAGATATAGATGCAGTGGGCGGAGGGGGTCGCACTGGTTGCCTTCCGACGCATCAACTCCATGAGCGAAGTGTGCCTGTCCCCGACGTGCACACGACAACCCCAGACATTTCGCTCACCTCGCTGTTACGACAGCCGACGCATCAACTTCATGAGCGAAGCGTGCGTGTCCCCGACGTGCGCACGACAACCCCAGACATTTCGCTCACCTCGCTGTTGCGACAGCGGTAATACATTTAGTGGAAATGCATCACAAAGGTGCGGGGTGGGTGGAGGGACACCGCTATTTCCACCGTGGGGCGTTGGAAGCCAGCATGCTCATGCCAAATATCGTACGTAGGACTTCCAGGATTTGCGTGTGGTGGCTTATAGAGCACAGATTGAACCCTCTGGTGTACTTGATGCTACCGCTCTGCTTCAAAATCTCTCGTTTTTCGACCGTTTTACCTGTTGAACTCCTTCCTCCCCGTCAGGAAAAAAACAAAGATAATCGGGCATCACAATAACAGATTCAGTACAACAGCAACAACATGTTCATTGACGCGTGAATCCAAAGAGAGAAACCGACCGCCCACAACAAGGAACTGGTGATCGGGTCGCTCTTGTTTATGGTCATGCTCGGAGAAAAATCTTGGTTTTTCTCTCGGGTCTGTCGAGACTGGATGCACGCTTGAGTATCACCCCTGTCTACAGCAGGTGACCCGATAGAGGCATGTAGGGGCAAGAGGAGATTATGCCACTATTCAGGGCAGTGCCACTATTCGATGAAGTGGCAGTATTGCCACTGTTGACTCGTGAATATTGGCACTATTGCCAGTATATCTGGCCACCTGTACTGCACTCGACTTTCTTGTCGCCGTCAAGAACAGTCCACATGTTAGAGTAAAAGAAGACCGAACGCACCATCGGAGCAACACGTCAAACACTTCCCCTTCCCACCCGCCCGTCCTTTGTTTGTGACTGGCCTACGCAATAAATATGTTGTTTGCCGCCGTGTTTTTTTTACGGGCAGCTGCGGAGATCAAGCACGGGCGCGTGGCGATGCTCGCCGTGGTCGGCTTCCTGCTGACGCAGTACGTGCACCTCCCGGGGGACCAGTTCCAGGCGGGACCCCTCGAGGCGCTCACGAGGGTGCCTGCCGGGGCCCAGGCACAGGTCTTCACGTGTGAGTTGCCGCATTACGCATGTACTTGGCGTATGAGTGGTACAACTTGCTTGCTTGCTGCGTAATTGTTTGTTCTTTGTATTTTTCTTTCCTGTATACAACCAATCCATCTTTATACATACAAGGGTCTTGTGTGTGTGCGTGTGTGTGTTTTTTTTTTTTTATCGTTAGCATCGGCGGTGGGTTACAACCGGCTGACCAACGTTGAAGACGTCCGCCTCGGTGCGAGTGTGGCGCACAAAATGCTTCTGAAGGTCATGATCTTATTTTTTCGTTGTTGTCTTCGAAAGGAAATGTTTGTTTAGAGTTGGCTGGAAGGAGGCTTGCCGTTGGCCATAGTGGGGGGGTGTCACCTCTCTGGTTTTTCTCCTCTCGGAGCAATTTCAGGGAAACATGGAACGCCTTCGTATGACGGTGCGGATCCTGCTTGGGAAAGAACCATTTTCAACCATCAGCTGGTGGGCCCTTGTACGCTTCTGTTGTGCTACGAAACATGTGTGCTTTCGGCGGGCTTGCCTGCCACCTTGTCGTATTTTTTTTTTTTTGTCGTTTCTTGTTTCGAACTCGGCAAACTTTTGGCAGGCCGGCAAATTTTAGTTGTTTTCCATATTCTCGGAACTGTCTCTCTTTCGCTGTCCACTCTTGGCACGTGTTGTGGCGCATTGGCGGCAATGCGTCGTTTCGGAGTAGATATATGATCCTCGTCGACGCGCGTCTTTTTGTGCATTGATACATGTCTGTCTCGCTCCCTCTCTCGATCTCTCCTTCCCACCATGACCCATCCAGTCATTGGCACGTTCGAGATGGCTTCCATCCTCCAGGCGTACTCCGAGAAAACCACCGACCCCTGGGAGATCCTCTTGCAGGACCCGACGGTGAGTTGGTTGCTCGGCTATTACATGCTAGACGCGTTTACGATACCATTGTCACATAAAGTCAGATTTTTGTTTTCGTTCGTGTTGCGGCACTTGTTTTTTTTCATTCCCTGTCGCCTACCCCCATGGCCTTGCCTTGAAAAGTAAACAGCAATGATGCAAGTTATTCCAGCAACATCGAACGATTTCGGGTCAGAACCCGGGATCAGAGCGAGCGCTTCCGGCGAGAACTTCTGCCACGCGTAGAATTAACATGCTAACCGAAATGATATTCAGGCGTGGAGAGATTTCATTCGCCCGTAAATCGTGAGTTTGTAGGAGATTCAAACATTTGTCGGCCATGTAAAAATATGTTCCAGCATGTATTTTTCGCCCAATTTTGCGGTTCTTTTTTTCCCGAGTGACAATTGTCTCAAGAGTTGACGAAGCTGAGGCTTCACTGCGACACGAAGCATGGTTTCTCTTTGACTTCGCTGTAACCGTAGTGGTCTTTTTCTATTTTTAACGGCGAATTCAAAGAAAAACAAGACATTTGGATCTGTTTGACGGGCATTATTTTCCGTATATATTTCCTGTCGCATGATGTTTAGGCACATTTCCTACAATGGGCCCCGACTGCCGTGGTTGTTCGACGTCCGCCTCGAACAGACTGTCGTTTGTCAACAATGGCTAGTTTTTTTTGCTTGTGCTGCTGACTCGACGCACCACCTCTTGGCTGTGCCCCCCCCCCCCCTTCCGCCCGCACTTGATTCGCAGGGCGCGAAGTCCTTCTACAACAAGAGCGAAACGGAGCAGGAGAGGCTCAAGCTTTCCGAGGTCAAGCACGCGCGCTTGGCGATGCTCGCCATCATCGGCGAGCTGACGCAGATGATGATGTTCCACAAGGTGAAATTACGTCCGTACGAAACCCAGCCCCGTTCCAGGTTGACGAATGGTATTGGTTCCTCGAAGTTTCATTGGACCCATGTGCATACGTCACCGCCTCGCCACTCTCTACTGTTGCCAGGGTGAGCTCAGCTTTCACTCAATCCTTTACTTGTTGCGGGTCGGCTTGCTATTTTAGGACTTGTGTACGGAGAACAATCGCATTTGCCTGGGAGAAAGGGCGGAGATGTTTTCATGGCCGTTGTTTCGATGGTTCAGTCACAGCTTTCCCAGGGTGGGGGGGGAGGGAGGATTCGCCAAAGATCGGTCGGGGGGGAAGGGGGTCGTTGTTACCCCTTGACGGCGCGGTTCGCTGCTCCCTTCGTCGGACGCTGTGCTGCGTTTTACGGCAGAAGGTGTTGCTGCGATGCATGGTACGAAGATGCCCACTTTTGATCGCTGCACACCCTGTTGCACTCATGTTTTTACCATTTGATCCAACCTCACACCGCCGTCGCCGATGGTGCCATTCGGTTAGCCTTTTGCCTCCACGTAGAAGGCGAGACACCTCGAGAAGTTACACGGGACGCGCGTACCGCGCCCCTCCACCTGACGAGCCGTGCTTGCGCTCGGCGATGCTAAAAAATTCTTGTCTCATCCGAGCCCCTCCTGCACTCGCCCCCCTCTCTTCTGTTCCTCTCGGTTCTCGGTTGGTGCGTGATGAAGCCCTCCCTTGACTTCTAAGCAGCGCTGTCCGTGGCGGGGCACCCCCATCACACGTTATGAATGAACCAAAGGCGGAGATGCTTTTTTTGCTCCGAACAGCGAGGTGGTGACTAGCCGCCCACGTTCGCGTTGGCGGGGCAGTCGGGGGAGGGGGGAGGGGGGCGCATGTTTCTGATTTCAAAGGTTGTGTCCATCACGATGCGTGAAGGGTAGGATCGAGAATGGTAATGAGATAAGACTTCCTTTGAGATGGGCTGCCCATTAGTGTGCCTTGTCTCGTGTTAGTTGAAGCCCCCCCCCCTCCCCCGTGTTCTTGTAGTACCCAGCAAAACTAGACAAGCGGCGGTTTATGTCGGGTCAAAGCGTTTGCAGCACGCTCGGATGCCGGAAACTGATTCCGTCGGCGTGTCTCGTTGATTCAGGTAGAACGGGCGCGGGGTGAGGTATAGCGGTACGTTTGCTTGTGGGGTGTTTCTTAACAATGAGCAGCAGCGTTGCATTAAGTGTTTCCCTCTTCTCGTTTCTCACGGGTGGGGGGTTTTCATGTTCGATGGCGCAGCGGTGTCAGGGGAGGGGAGGGGGAAAAAGGAACGGGATTGATTGTGTTCGTTTCGATTCTCCTTTTACCACTTTTCTGTACACGGCGTCATCGTTTTAAGGGACCCCCCCCGCCCGGCGGGGGTCCCGTGGTGTTCCTTCTGGGTGGTGGCGGTGGCCTGAGACGTAGGTCTGGTAAAGAGAGTTCAGCAGGTCCTTGGAGCGTTCTTGCGGCAGTCAAGCGGTGTGGCCTCTCTCTCTCTCTTCCATGTAAGCGGTAGAAAATCCTCGTGTTTGCTTGCGTCTTTTGAGATTTGTCGATCAACCAAATGGCACCATCCAAATTGTTTCTTTCCCCGAACATCATCAGCCAGGCACTCGCGGTCTCAGGTCGTCAGTCCTCTCTTCGTGCAACGCTGTCTGGAGTCAGCACGAGTTGGTTACGAACGTATGTGCAGTGGCGATAGCAGTGCATTATGGAGATCATGCCGTCGCCATATGGCTCTTCCGTGTTTTTCTTGCAACAAACGCGGGATGGTCCAATTGGTCCAACTCTTGAGGGGACCATGGGCTTCAAAACCGTAAGGGGTGAACGGAAGGCATCAAAACCAACCTCGCCGTGCTTGCGCACGCCTGTGTGGAGTCCACCACAAGCTTAGAACCCGACCCCCGAAACAACCGAGGCTAATGAACTAAACGCCTTTTGAACGGTTGCAGTGCTTTGCGGGAATTATTTTGCTGGAGACAAGAGCAGCTTTTTTGTCACGGGGCCTGAGCGGACGCAAGATCTAAACGAATGTTCGTCCTTGTGGGGGCGTTCACCTCCCCCTGCCCCATTCCCAGGGTATATTGTCACGCGTACAGGATTTTGTTAGACACAATATCTCTCGCCCCTCTACCACCCCCCTGTTCGCTCCAAGGCGGTCGTTGTCCGCCACCGCCGTTGCCCCCTGTCCCGGTCCCCATGTCGCTCAGCAATTCTCCGCCGGGATCCGTTCCCGCAGACAAGCCAGCCGACAGCCCTCCCGGCGACGATCCACCGCGTGCCGCGCCTCTTCCCCCGGCGTACCCCGGCAGTGACACCGCTGCGTTTTTGCCGCCGCCGCCGCCGCCGCCACCGACCATTTTCAAACTACTGTTAACCCCACCAAAGCCGCCTCGCTGCGACGGTATTTGCCGTCTCCGGAGAAATGATGGATCCGACGTGCTCGGGGCCAAGGGACCCTGGCCCCCTCGCGAAAGTTGAACGCCACGCTTTCCTCCTCCTCCTCCGCCCCCCCCACCTCCTCTGGCGATCGGCGGGGACCCCACTCCCGCCCTTGACGGGCCGCCGCCATGCTGCTGGCCGTTGTTGCTTGCAAACTTGGGGGAGTGGCCACCCGCCGCCGCGCCATGATTGTTGTTGTGGCCGGCGGCCCCGAGTCCTCCTCTTCCTCCGCCGGCTGCTGCTGTACCCGGCGCAGACGACGAGTGGTTCAAGCGGGGCCCCGGCGCCACGTCAACCTGCATCGTGTCCAGCAAGGAGCTCCCACCGCCGCCCTCCCCGTCGCCGCAGAGGATGGCCCACTTGGTCCGGAGCGCGGAGGCTTGTGCGCGGGCGCGGCGGACGTCCTTGTCGGCTTTCGTTCGGGTCCAGTCGAGCTTCGTTCGGAGCTCCATGTACTATGTTTAGGGTTCGATCGAGTTGGCGGAGGGGCGGGGGGAGGGGCGAAGGGCCACACACAGTGAGATTACCAACATTTTCGGTGGGTGGCAGAATTGGAACCCAGGTTTTCTGGCAACAAAGTCAGACACAACTTCGTGGACGCCAACACATCATCAAAAGAGAGGAAGTCGATCGTCGTCGACGGATGTGAGCCTTTTATTGATCGCCACCTTCACACGCGTGATGCTAGGTTGGGGCCGAATGGTGTGTGTATGTTCGTTCACCTTCTCGTCCATCAGACGCAGCTGGTCTTCCAATATCTTCGAGCCCTCCCGCAGCTCCGTCGTCACCCTGTCCTTCGCCTGATTGCTGCGTAGAAGGGCGGTGCTCCTAGCCTGGAGCGGTCCGGGCAAGACAAAAAAAAACGAAACATTTCTCAAAGAAAGCGGCAATAAAATAAAACACGCTAAGATTGCGTAGTATAGTAAGCGAAGATGCTCTCTCCGGTGGAGATACTATTCCCATCTACGGGGTAATGGAAATTGGAAGGTTCAGAGCGTCCCGCGCGTATGCCAGCTAACGCTTTGACGAGGTCATCATCAGCATTCGCCATGTTTTGAGTGAGCAAGACGTGCGCAGCGTAGCTTGTGTGGACCGTTTGGGGGGGTGGTTTCAAACGCGATTGATGCTGAACAAGTAACCCTTCTGACTTCACAGCCGAGAAAAACATAGACTAGACTCATCGAGGAAAAAATTAGAATGTGGTGCACTCGCCTTAACCAGCTCCAGCTCTTTTTGCAGGCGCCGCTGCTGTTCGTGCGCCTTCGCCTTCTGCGTCGCCTCGTGCTTGAGGAACATCATTAGCTTTTCGATGTGGTCGCTCAACACTTGAACCTGATCGGTTCCGCGAAATGGCACCCACACAAACACGCAGGCGGCGTCGTTTCGTCACAGGAACTTCATGCATCGAGGAGACGCGCTCGGCCAGGGCAACATCAGCAACAACGGTGGATGAGATTCAACACCGAGATTGAAGCCCACGACAGAAGCCCGGCCGATTTCGATCTTCGCGTATGCCGAACACCATCATCATCTCAAACGCACCGGTCCCGACAAATACGCCCACCAAGGAACCAGTCGTGCTTCAATCACCCCGCCGACTGAATGACTCCGCCGCCGGTATCGCAAAAACGATCTGCGCCCCCCCCCCCACCCACCCCCCCTCCCCCACCGCGCTCCTCGCAATGAGTCCTTTGTCTTAAAGTATTATTACCCAGAATGTTTCTCAAAGTGTGCGCAAGGTGTGCATGTATCTACGAAGGCTCGTCGAACCACTGCTGCTGCAGCCCGCACCTTTCCCGCGACTTTCTGCGTCTTCCGCTCCGCCTTCAGCCGGGCGGATTTCTCGTGCCTCAGCCTCTCCACCAGCTGGGTAGCCTTAACCTTGAGCGCCATGATGTCCGCCGTCGCTACTCCGATCGTGACGTCATCAAGACCACCACCACTGTTCACCACAACTCCTACTCCGCCGGCGACCCCGCCATTGCCGCTTTGCCCGCTGCCGCTTTGATCACCACCGTTACCGCCACCGTCCAGCTGCCGCTGGAGAGACGCCGCCCTCGCCGACTGCGCTCGGCTCTCCTGGCCGGCGCGCGCGAGGTCTCGCTCGAGGGACTCCACGCGCTTCTCGAGCGCGGCTCGAGCGATGGACTCGGCCTTCACTGCCGCGGTTGCTGCGGCGGTGGCTTCGGCCGCGGAAGACTTTCTCCTCCTGCTTCCGCCCCCGCCTGCGTTGTTCTGTTTCAGACAGTTGTACGGAAGTGCGAGGTGGAAAATGATCCATACGACGTTGAACTACTAGTCTTTGGATTGTCAATGAAAAATTCGCTTCTTGTTCAGCTGGGCATCGTTTGTTTTCTTCGTCGCGGACATCGGTGTTCCACAAGCACAGCAAGCATGTACCATGTGGTATGTGCGTGCACACCTTTTCGGCCTGTTTGTACCCTTGAGACTCCGCCAGGAGAACCAGCTCGAGCAGGGTCCTCTCTGGCTTGTCCTCGCCATCGGCTAGAGATGAAAGCATGACGGCCCTGACGACGGCCGGCAAGTAAGCCAGAAGGGGGCAACAGCTTGACCACAACAAACACGACGGCTCGAAAGACAAAAGCCTTTTCTTGATTGGTCAAAATCAACGGACACAGTTGCACGTCTTGCCACTACACTATCACTACGGTGGGATCACTCAGAGTCGCAGAAAGCGCGCGTCATTGTTATTCATTCTGTAAAATGCGCACCAATTGACAGCTTTAAGCCTGAAAACTCCTGTTCGGCGGTCGGTCATGACCTTCCTTGATCTTCAAGTTGTGCTGAGAAGCTGCTTGCCCTTCCCGACCAGTCATATCAAGATGAAACTAACGATTCGTGAACAAATTTGATTAATAGGACGGAGAGGTTAACTGTCCATTCCGCGAAAAACTTCGTTCTTTAGTATTTCATTGCCCCGTGCAAACCTAAAATTCTTCTCCTTCTAGATTCTACTGCGAAGAGGTTAGAATAGCGTGTTGCTGTCAAGGTATCAACTACAACGCAGTAGAAACAAGCAGCAGTTTCGGCACAGCGGAGGCGGTTCATTCCAGCGGCTCCCAACAGAATTCTTCATTTGCGCGCTGGTAGAAGATTTCGATTATCGAAGCATGACACAACGCAAAAATTCCCTTGTGGATGTCAGGACAACTGCTGCAGACATCCAGTTCAACTCCGCTTGAGCGTTTCCCGAGACTCACCTTGCTGCCTCCACCTGGTGCTTGAGAACCTCGAGCTCCTTCTTAGCGCCGCCGTCATCTGCCGAGCCCGCCGTGGCTGCGGTTTTCCGCTCCACCGCCTCTCTCAGGCGAGCGTTCTCCAAGTTTGCCTGCCGCAATCGCTCCTCAAGCTCCGTCACCGGCGGCAAGGAACCCATCGGTCGGTCTTTGTCGTCGACTTCTTTAACCACGCCCCCCGCGCCCCTGGGGTTGATTGTGGCATCGCGGTCGTTGCCCACGCCGTCGCCTCTGTCCGAGGCACTTTCTTGTCGATATCGATCCCCGTTCTTCCCTCCAGCTGTTCTAGTGTCGGCGCTGCCCTTGTCCTCACCTTTGGAATTCCTTGTGTCGGGCTGGTTGAACGAAGGAGAGGGCGAAGCTGTGACGCCGGCTGCGGCAGCTGGGTCGTCCGTCGATTGTTCTCCTCGTTCCTGCTGTCGGTTCGTCACGTTTCCGTCAACGTTGCTGGCAGCGGCGACGCCCGCCGCGTTGAGCGGTCTATCCGAGGGGGGCGGCGTGGAAATCACCTCTTCTTGCGTTGGCGGAAACGTGCTGTCATCGTCGGCAAAGTCGTCTTCGCCGTACGACGACAGACTGTTGTTGTGTTCGTCCAACGCTCCTCCTCCTGTTGCTATCGATTCCCCCGCCACCGCCTCGTTCCTAGCTTGGACTTCTCCATCTTCTCCAGCTGTCCCCGTGGTCTGCGTCTGGGAGCCGTCTGCAGTCGTTGGGCTGTTGGTGCTGGAACGATCGTCTTCGCCAAAGCCGTAGTCCCGAGAGTCATACTGTTGGTTGAAGGTCGTTTGTGTTTTTGGCGATCAGATGGATGGAGACAGGACCGGTCAGGCGGGAAGAGTACATAGAAAGCTCAAGAGGCGGAGTTGTGTTGGCGGAAGGGGCTTGCCAATGGGTACATGTCATCGCTTTTGTTATTGTGATGTAACTGGTACTTGTTCATGCGCTGCTATGCGCATCTTGCAGTACAACGTCTTGGCGAATACTTGTCCATAGATAGACTGAAAGAGTTGTATCCAAGAAATAACTACAAGTACACAGCAATTTGTCTTACATAACTAAACAACAGCAATGATCAGTCTCTCTTGTGCATTCCGACATAGTATCAGTCAGTAATTGATCAACCTGTTGTCATGTGTGTAGCGAACT